GGATTACAGGCTTGAGCCACCGTGCCCAGCAACGATTCTTATTTATTTATTCTGAGATGCAGTCTCTTTCCATCGCCCAGGATGGAGTGCAGTGGCATGATATTGGCTCACTGCAACCTCCGCCTCCTGGTTCAAGCGATTCTTTTAGCTGGGAATTGCACCTAGCCAAGCCTAGCTTGTGTTTGTATTTTTACTAGAGATGGGGTTTCTCCATGTTAGCCATGGCTGGTCTTGGAATCCCAGCCTCAAGTGATCTGCCTAGCCCAGCCTCCCAAGGTGCTGAGATTACAGGCATGAGCCACCTTGCCAGGCTTTGCTGTTAACAGTTCTTGACAAGTCTTCTGGAAATGTGCTATTTTACAAAAGTGCGTCTACATATAGCTTATGTAACATATAGCATATACAAAATAGCATATAGCGTATACAAAATGTTCATATGTGTTCACATGCAGATAGATACATAGACAGAATTTGATGGTGTCATGAGACAGAAAGAGAAAATGGTGGCTCACGAGTATAAAGTAGGGGTGTTGGGCTGAAGGCGGAGTGGAAGGGGCTGTTGATGTGCCAGGCTGGAGGGCCTGAAGAGAAGTGATGGAATACAAGAATGGAAGCAAGGCTGGGGCAGGAGAATCTTAATATTTGTGTTGCAAAAAATTTTTGCAGTTTAGGAGGTGAAAGATCCAACATCCACTTGGCCTCAGTCCTTAACTAAAAAATGGGATAATGATGTATATGCCTCACAGGCTTATAGTGATGATTAGATGGGGCTAATATATATATGTATGTTTGTTTGTTTGTTTTTAGCCGCAGAGTCTTTATCTGTCATGCAGGCTAAAGCGCAGTGGTGGGATTTTGGCTCACTTCAACCTCCACCTTCCATGTTCAAGAGATTCTCCCATCTTAGCCTCCTGTGTAGGGCTGTTGGGCCCCACAGGGTCATGGGGTGTCCCTTATGTTGTGTTGAGGTGCAGGATCCGAGAAGTAAAGAGACAGGACGCTGAAGTACTGGCGAAGAGCATCTAGACTCGGGGGACCCACGCCACCTGGGAGCGGAGATCTGCAAGAGCCCCTAATGCCCAGAAGCATCTGTATTTATTAGGTACAAGCAGGAGGCAGAGAGGTCATCATCTATAGGCTTAGTAATAGGGCATACATAATCACGTGAGTCACAGGCAAGCGGGCCACCCCATTGTATCACCTGGGCAGAGAGGTGGGCTGTGTGCAGTGGGGGACTGTGCCATGCGCAGTAGTAGAGGGTCATGTACAGAAAAGGGATCCACCCCCATTAGGTCCCTGAGGCAAGGAGGTGGGCTATGTGCAACAGGTGTTGTGCGCAACACTTCTTATCTGGGGGCTGGAGACTTCAAAGGATTTCTAATAGAAGGATACTGTAAGCCAATGCAGTGGGAGCTGACAGACTTGTGTTCTTCTCTTAAGATATTTATGGGAGGATGATTTGAGCTAGCACAGAAGCAAGAAAAGACTGATAGGGTATACAGCAGCAGTGACTGGTCACACCAAAGGGATTCTTCTCCCTTGGTTATTTCCAGGATCTCAGGCCTGAGGCCTACTTTCCACAGGAACTGGATGCAAGGTACTACAACTCCTTTATCAGGAGGAGAGGCTCTTGCTCCAAGCCTGCCGTACAGCGTATGCCCTTTTAGGCAGGGACACCACCGTCTAGGTCTTTGGTTCTTGTCCTGGTCTGGCTGTTTTCCCATGTACTGCTTCTGTTCTGTGACTGCTCTAGGCATTCCTCCTACTGCAAACTACTATGTGGTTACCTGGAAGGATTCTATAAATCAGCACTAAATATGTCAGTACAGCTCCGACTACAATACCTATATGATTACATAGAAAGATTATATGGGACTAAGTGTGATTATATATAAGCTAGATATAGTAAGCAGTGAGTTATGCTTCAGGCACTAACTGTGCCTGGGGTCTGCACAGTTCTCCTTCCTTGGTGCCCCGGGGGGGTGTTGCCCACATCCTGAGTAGCTGAGACTACAGGCATGTGTCACCACACCAAGCTAATTTTTGTACTTTTAGTAGAGATGAAGTTTCACTATATGTTGGCCACCTCACCTCAGGTGATCTACCTGCCTAGGCCTCCTAAAGTGCTGGGATTACAGGCGTAAGCCACTGTGCCTGGCCGTGGCTAATACATTTAAAGTGCTTGGCATTGCACCTCAAACAATATTCTAAGCATTCTCTCAGCGTTTGCTGCTATGATAGTTATTGTTGTTATTGTAAGGGTGCTGCTGTTTTCAGAATGCTTTCGTGGTGCCTGGCCAGTGAGTGAACCTCCATCCACCTGCAGTTGGCATATGGAAAGAACCTCCTGGCGCATTTCCATCTTAGAAATCATTCTTTTGTTGTGACACTGTCTTTTCCTTTTCCTTCCTTCACTGCTCTTAACTTCCTACTTTATGCCGTGCATTCTTGAAGAAAACTTTCTGGTATCTGGTGGTTATAAATTCTTGGAGGCGCGTGGAGATGTTTTAGGTAGTAAAGGGCAGTGGCCATTTTCTCACTTTGTCCCCCTGTCCTGGCCTTAAGCTGTTGGACATTCTTTAGGCAGGGACATCTACTTATTTTCTGTACTTCACACATGTTGCCTAAGGATATCAATTAGAATTGTTTGCCTAAGAAAAATGCCCAGTGATTATTAAGGCCACTCATATTCATTGTCTGGATTTTTTTTTCTTTGAGATGGAGTCTTTCTATGCCCCAGTAATTTTTGTGTTTTTAGTAGAGATGGGGTTTCACCATGTTGGTCAGGCTAGTCTCAAACTCCTGACTTCAAGCGATCTGCCTGCCTCCACCTCCCAAAGTGCTGGGATTACAGGCGTGACTCAGCCACTGTGCCCAGCCCATTGTCTGCATTTTAAGAGCTTGACTCTGCTGCTCCTCTTGAGACATCCTGGGCAGTGATTCTGTCCTTCTGGGACACTCTGGGTGTTTCTACTTGTATTTAGAATGGCTGGCTTAAAAGTCTTCGTTTGAATATTCTGCATCCTGAATGCTCTTAGTTGTCAGTAAAACTGTACCTGCCTACGCACTCTTCTATTTCTGATTTATAAATAGGTTCAGCTGCCTAACAATTACACATACTCTATTTTGCACACACACATTACTTAAGGAGACATTTAGAGGGTAAATGGCTTTTATTCCTATGAAGTTATCTGGAAATCATCTTCTTAAGTACCTTTTTTTTTTTTTCCTCCAAGGTGGGCATAGTTTGAAGGATTTGTGATGAGACATTTGGTCTGTGAAGCCCAGGACACAATTTCCAACATGCACAGGAAATCCAGTATCAAACTTCTAACAGGTCTTCAGAGACAGGTCCAGGACTGGCTTGAGAGTGTCAGAGAGGTGCGCACTGTGTGCTTCCTATCATACATGGCCACACAGGCCTGTGGCTGTGAGAAATACTGGTGGTGACAGAGATGATGAGATGCCAGAGAAAAGATCAGTGGGATATGCGAAGGTAATGAAGATGCCGTGTTAGGTATGATGAAGGACTTAATAAGATTGAAGGAAACAGAGGACATTGCATATACCAGGGCCCCTGAGAAATCTGCCTGGCAACCCGGAAAGGGACATATGGGGGAAAATGCCTTAGTGTAACTGGGTCAGAATTTTCATTCTGGGCAGAACGGGAATTTGAATAATACTGAGTCATATATAGCATACAGCTATGGCATTGCATTTATTTCTCCGTATAATGCAATAGTAGATGGATTAACCGTGACTTTTACAGATGGAGCCGGGGAGAATGAAGAGATGTCAGTTGGGCATCAGGCTGGATATTCACACTCTGACCTCGCTCTGCTCTGTCCTGTCAGTGTTGCTTCACCTGATATCAGGGGTGCAGGGCCACCAGCTCTGACCCCAGGTCCAGTTCAGACCCTGCCTCTACCTGGGTGTGACCCGGGTCCATCTCTTCAGCTCTCAGCCTCCGCTTGATCTCCATAAACTTTTGGGGTTAGTGTGGATGATCTCTAAAACATGGCCCTGGTGCTCCTTGCCAGTAGAGTGCAGCGGGATTTGGAGGGAGTAGAAATTTAGTGTGAACAGGAGGAGGGCCTCAGGAGGCAGTAAAAGTTGGCAGGAGGAGAGAAAAAGAAGCGCCTAGGGGTGCATATCGCACTAGCGGGCGAAAGGCCCTGACTCCTTAGTTTGCAAGAATTACCCCAGGTCCGGCCTCTTTCGCGTAGCCTGGAGCTGAGCCGCAGGCCGAGAAATCCGGTCGGACCAGTGGGGGGCTCCACCAGGCGCAGTCTCAGAATGCCCAAGAGCCCCACCGTCGCCCGGGGTCTCCTAGAGGAGTGGGTCGTGGTGGGCGCTGTAGAACCGTCAGAGGGGCAGCCCGCGACCGCGTCGGTCCCCATTCCGCAGGCGGCCACCGCCTCGGCCCCGCCCTCCCACCTCCATTCCTGGCTCCGCCGGCCCGAACGGTCCCTCTAGCTACCGATCCGCTGGCAGGGGCGCGGGGGATGCGAATTCCTAGAAGCCTGAAGAGGCTGCCCAGAGTTGGAAGTTCGTATCCCCGAGAATGCTGGAGGTTCCGGCTCACACACCCACTCCGGGCACGGAATCCGTGGGGGGTGGGGTGCCTGGAGGAAGAACGCCCCGCTCCTCATCCCCCATCCCCTTGCACCCTGGAGCCCAGCTGCAAGCGTCCGGCACCCCAGGCTAAATCAGAGGTGGCCGGGTAGCGGGTGGTGGCGGGAGGGACCAGGTAACGGCAGGCCCGAGAGGAGGTCGCTGGGCCCGGCCCGAGGCGCACAGGGGCTGCGTGGCTACCTCAGGGGCACCCGCCCCACCTCCGCCGCTGAGCCCGGAGGGGGACCGTGAGTCAGATCTCGGGCGCCCGCGGGTCGGGCGGGGAGGGTGGGCAGGTCAGGAAATGACATCAGAGGCCTGTGCTCGGGGAGCTGGGGTCCGAGCTGGGCCGGGGTGGCGAGGGCGGCGGTGAGTGGGGTTGCGGGGCCGGACTTCGGCGGAGCCTCCGGCCTGGGGCAGGATCCGGGCCCCTTCCTGGGGGTGTTTCCTGCCTGGTCCGCCCTTCCCCGCTCTCCCCGCCCCCTCTCCGGGCCGCTCCTTGTATGGTCTGGGCGCCGCTCTCTCTCCGCCTCCTCCCTCCTCCCTCCCTCCTCCTTCCGTGGGTCCTTCCCCGCCCGGCTCGAGGCTGCTCCGGACCGGGACGCAGAGTCCGCGGACCCGGCGCCGAGGCGGCCACCCGAGACGCGGCGCGCACGCTCCGGCCCGCGGTGAGGCGCGGGGAGCGGCCGGGTGGCCCCACGGGGAGTGGGGTGCGGGGCGCCGGGAGGGGCGCGTGGGGGTCGCCGAGGGCAGCTCGGACCGCCGGGGGCTCCTGAGCCGGGCTCGGCGCTGCGTAACCCGGCGACCCACCCCAGCAGCCCGGCCTGGCCATGGCGGCCCCCCGCCCGTCTCCCGCGATCTCCGTTTCGGTTTCGGTCTCGGCTCCGGCTTTTTACGCCCCGCAGAAGAAGTTTGGCCCTGTGGTGGCCCCAAAGCCCAAAGTAAATCCCTTCCGGCCTGGGGACAGCGAACCTCCCCCGGCGCCTGGGGCCCAGCGCGCACAGATGGGTCGGGTCGGTGAGATCCCCCCGCCGCCCCCGGAAGGTATGCAGTGGGGCTTGGGTTACCGGACCTTGGCCGGCGCCGGGGTGGGGGGCAGTGGTTTCGGGAATTTGGGGATGTCTGGAAAGGTTGTTGCCGAGGGGGCTGGGCGCAGCCACCCTGTCCCGAGCAGATGTTCTTACCTCATCGTGGAGCTCGTGGCTGGGAGCCAGGGCTCCTGGGACCGTTCCAAGTGCCCCGCCTGGGGGTGGGAGGCGGGAATGTGGGCCACGAATCTTCCCCTCCGGGTCCGTTTTCCGAAGTGTAACGGGAGCTGCACCACTCCTCGGCCGTGCCCCTGGCCTTTCCTGACCCGGTGCTCTCAGGGTGCCCTGCGCCCCTCCTTTGCTTTCCCACACGCTCCGGGACCCCCGAGAGTTCTTGGGTCAGGGGTTAGAGCGGTAAACCGAGGGGAGCTTGGGTGAGGGTAGACGGACTCCGGCCAACGTTTCTCCTCTTCCTACCCCAGACTTTCCCCTACCCCCACCTCCCCTCGCTGGGGATGGCGACGATGCGGAGGGTGCTCTGGGAGGTGCCTTCCCGCCGCCCCCTCCCCCGATTGAGGAATCGTTTCCCCCTGCGCCTCTGGAGGAGGAGATCTTCCCTTCCCCACCCCCTCCGCTGGAGGAGGACGGAGGGCCTGAAGCCCCCATACCGCTCCCACCACAGGTATGGAGACCTGGGAAGGGCGGCTGCACCAGGACACCCCCAAGGAGAGGAGAAGAAGGCCCTTTCTTCTTACCTCCTCTGCACCTCTGCCCTGTTGGGGGAGGGGGGATGGAGACATGGAATAGGTGCTCTGACCTCTGACCCTCTAGCCCAGGGAGAAGGTGAGCAGTATTGACCTGGAGATCGACTCTCTGTCTTCACTGCTGGATGACATGACCAAAAATGATCCTTTCAAAGCCCGGGTAAGGGAACAGAGAGTAGGATAATCAGGATCCAGGGCCAGAGAGACTGGGGATAGAGCTATGGAGGATGGTGTTTGCCTGACTGCGTCTCTCTTCCCTCTCCCTCCCCTTGCAGGTGTCATCTGGATATGTGCCCCCACCAGTGGCTACTCCATTCATTTCCAAGTCCAGTACTAAGCCTGCAGCCGGGGGCACAGCACCCTTGCCTCCTTGGAAAGCCCCTTCCAGCTCCCAGCCTCTGCCCCAGGCTCCCACTGTGAGCCAGACACAGTTCCCTGTTCAACCCCAGCCCCAGCCCCAGGCTAAGCCTCAGGTCCAACTCCATGTCCAGCCCCAGCCCCAGCCCCAACCTGTGTCTTTGGCTAACACCCAGCCCCGAGGTCCCCCAGCCCCATCTCCGGCACCAGCCCCTAAGTTTTCTCCACTGACTCCTAAGTTTACTCCTGTGGCTTCCAAGTTTAGTCCTGGAGCCCCAGGTGGACCTGGGTCGCAGCCGAATCAAAAATCGGGGCACCCCGAAGCTATTTCCACTGGCACAGGCACTCCTCAACCTCCCAGCTTCACCTATGCTCAGCAGAGGGAGAAGCCCCGAGTGCAGGAGAAGCAGCACCCTGTGCCCCCACCCGCTCAGAACCAAAACCAGGTGAGAGACGCTGGTACGACAAGGCTGGGACCTGGGCACTGGGGTGGGACTGAGTCAGGAGCCAGAGCATCAGGACGAAGGTGACTGGAGAGTCAGAGTGGACATCGGGGTGGTGGGATAGGAATTCTTATCCTGTGGGGTTAGCCTGGTGAAACAATGATAAGAAAATGCTCTTCTGGAGAAGAGGCCTGGCTGGGTGTGGGGCTGCGTGGGGCCTGACTGGGAGGGCGCAGAGAGCACAGGCTGTGAATTAGGAGGAGGAGGATCTGGTGGACCTTTCCTTGTGACTTTGTCCCAGAATGTTAAAGGGAGGGATAAGATCACCAGTCCTACCTTGGTTTTTCCCTTTTTTTTTTTTTTTTTT